CTTTCGTGGGATATCGCCGCAAGCTTTCATCTCGCGGATCGAGAGAAACAGCCACAAGGACCAAACGTGACGCTTTATTTAACACAAGAAACACCTCTTCGCGGGAAAAAGAAATACTTCTCGTACGAATTCGCGCTCGATTATGGTGAATTTCTCTTATCGGGCGGGCAACGCGACGAAACGCGTTAATCTCAATGATCGATAGTAGAACAGTGCGCAGTTGCAATTGGCACAAATTAGAGAGTTTGGTTTGATGATCCCGAAACACTAAAGTTCTTTCTGTTCGCACCGCCGTGTAATCAATACAAGGAGAATGGTCTCCTAAGAGAAAGGGTGCCGAGCAACATTCGCGCAATGCAACATAAGCGCCGCATACACACAATGATATCGACAATAATACAAATATCTAATCAATCACAGACAAGCTCAATTAGAATTAAATGAAGTATTTTGCAATGTTTTAATTTTCAGCGATAAATATCTTCCATTCCAGCAATAGATACTGACAAGTTTTTTTCGGTGTAAAATGAAACTTGATAGATCGTGACGTCATAAAGTGTATATACAATGTAAAAAGTTATCGCACTCGCGTCGTATATCATATTAAGACTTCATTAATCGGTCCCAATCAACAAAGACATATTTAGTCATTAAATTTCCGCGAAGGAAAGGCCGCGACCGTGAGAATGCAATCTTTGTAATACATCAATCTTTATAAAACAAGATTTAACGACGCTTCAAGAGATTAAAAAAAATATTTTTAATTTCATAGATCGTTTTATTATTTCTTCTGAATATCTGCGCAAGACTTGGATACAATTCTCTTAGTTGAAAAGTTAATGCTTGCGTTAGTTCTTGTGGAATATTGCATATCGCAGCACTCGTTGGCAAGTTTGATAAGAAGTACGCCAAAGTTTTTATAAATATTTAAAAATGTCAAGTAAATATTCGTGTGAAATTTTACTTACATTCATTATTCTATTTTTACTTAAATTCGTTATTCTATTTTTTTGCAATTGATTTCAATGAGTATTCATATTCAAGTTTTCTGTCAATTAGAAAAAATACTGAATTTAAATGTTAGTCTGCAGTATCAAAACTTTTTACATAATTTAAATCAATTTGATGCTTCAATTGAGCTTGAAAGATAAATTGTTTTGAAATTTTAACAACTTTTGACGAGTATTGTACAGCGTCTACATTCTTAAGTAAAAATCGATTTTGGGTCATCTAGTATCTCTGTGGAGAGTCACGAAGGCGCTCTCATGTTAAGAGGTGAGCTAGAATCGTTGGGTATAGCTAGTCGGGTGATCAGTTCGAGGAACGCGATTTGCGAACTAGCTTATGGCCAACGGCAGATCCCTTTCTCTCGCGAAACAGAAAAGCAAAACGTCTCGACGCCAGGCGATCTCGTTGCACTCTTTACTATCGTCGCAGTAAGACTCGAGAGATTCCTCACGGTCGCAGATACACTTTGCTTAGTCTTTGAATAGTCTTTGAATAGTCCGGACAACCCTTTAAAAAGAAGATTCACGCTGAAACAATCGTCGAGAAAATTGCACACGCTCCCTGTCATTGTACTCAAGATTTCTCGGGTCAGAAATCAAGGTTCTACGAAGTTTCATGTTCTGACAAGTGGAAATTTTGCTCCCTGTCGCGGTTAAACCTGCGCTAACCCTATTCACCGTATATTATCTTGCATATTCATATCCAAGTTAGTACAAAAAAATATACAGAGTGTGTTCCAAAACCACCGAATATATTTTAATTCTTTTGTCAAATTTTTTTAACGAAAGTATCAAAACATCAATCATTTTCAAGTTATATGCAATTAAAAAAAAATGTTTTTCGTGGATTAAGTTTCAGAGAGTCAAATAATATCAAAATTAATTAAAGTTTAACAAAAACATCAAAGTTTTAAGCTTAATTATAATAAACAATAAGAAAAAATAGATTCCAAACTAGCCAGAATCTGAAAAAAACATTCGACAGTTTTAGAATATCTTTAATCTTCGTATCTCATTATCTTAAAATACTAAGATTTTCTTTCTCTGTTTTATAGAAACAGAAAATACATTTTTTTTCAAAACGCAAAACATATTTTCCATCATTATTTTCTTAATTAATAAAGAATTCTTTCTATTTTGCAGGTAGATATTCGTTTTTATCGTGAATACCGCGATCGATACCTAACGGTTTAAAAGTTTCCGAAGACCCGCATAATCGTAACGCCACTCAAATCAGCAAGATCGATGCAAAAATATACCGAAGAACAACGTCCGCGTCGACGTTATTTCTACCGCTTTTTCCCAAATCTCCGTGAAGAACGAGGAATCTGTTATAACAAAAACCATGACGCCCGACCTCGGACAACCCTCGCCGCTCATCTGGCTACACCGATAAATCAACCACCAACGTCGGAGAGAAGCGTCACAGGCTTAAAGGGAATAGCATAAATCAAAGGTAGAGGCCTCTGCAGCGTACTGCCGCTTTCTAATCTCGATCTTCATTACTCGATGGCATCTCGTGTAATAAATCTTCAGGTACACTATAATACTTTTGCCTTTTATAATTTCCTCGCCGATTTACAGATAATTACCGCAGAAAGATTAATCAAAATGCATTTCAGTATAGTAAAACTTTTAAATTGTCATTTATTCTACATTTAGCAACATTAATTTCTGCATTTATTGCAATCATTTTTCCGTCAAACAATTCAGATGATGCGAGACCGTGACATATTAAAGGAACAGCCTCAGTAATTCACGAATGTGCGGGAAGTGCGACTATTGTCATATTGGCGAATTGTCATTAACAGCTGATTGTGAATTATAGGCCAAAGATGTGGCGCAATTACTCTATCAAAGAGAGTCAATTATTTTGTACTAGTTTCAATTATCTATTTAATTTATTTCAATTTTAGCACTTTTTATGTAATAACAATTTACTTATATAATGCTTATGTAATATTTTTATGTAATAAATGAATAAATAAATAGTTTATATTTTAATGTAACTAAAAAATAATTTGTCACAAATCTTGCATTAAAAAAAATTTCGACAACAAAAGAAAAAATTCGATCCGCCTTATAAGATAGCGTACTTGTGAAAAAATTGTAATAATTGCATAAGACTCGTAAATGAAAGATTGCTTTAAGAGCAAGTCATCTTCTCTTTGATATAAGAAGTTAAAGCATATACATATCTTGAAACATATTGAGAGTTACCATAATTGTACGTTGTATTCTTATCGAAAAGCATTATCGCGATGATTCAAACACAAACTACTGCTTTTACAGTTGGTCGTGCCACCTGGTATAAAGCAGAATTAGGTCTCCGGCGACGGAGGCTCTCCCGCTAGTAGTTATTGATTTCAATTTTGAAAAGAAGTCCCGAAGGCCCGAGAATTGCTCTAACCTCCCGTGTCAGTTTCATTAGTAATGCAGGAAGCAAAATATTTACTTTCATCGCTGACGTAAAATTCGATCAGTCAATAAAAGTCTACAAAAGCTTATAAATAATCTAAAACAAAATCTTCTATTAATCTTTACTTAAAAGAAAAACAAGAAAATAAAAAGTAAATTTTCTTAGATTATGCTGTATTTTAAAAACAATGCACCGATTATAAATTTTTGTAGTGTTAAATCGCAATAAATGTAATGATTGTTGGAGAAAAAATTGTTAGTATCAGTATCTGTTTGTTGTTAATAATTTCGGAAGAAAAACCGCTTAAATTATAAAATATATATATAGACTGACAATGAAACGTATGAAACTTAATCGAGAACGCTTTAGATACAATGTCAGGTTGTTGATTCAGTGTTGTTGATTCTCACACGAAAACGTGTAAAGCTTGACTTTAATTTGACTTTAATGCTATGTGCGAATTACAGATTTAAGAATCTGTTTGTTTAAATTGTATCAAAACCATTAGAATCGCTAAAGCAAGTTGAGACAAAGAGTGACATATTTTTCAACAAATGTTTTTCATGAAGACAGAATTGCTCTATATCAAAATGCAGAATACTTATTCACTGAGAAGAGAGCGAAAGAAAGATTCTCTTTGTGGATGAGAATAATAGTCAGCATAATTAAATACACTGGAAACGTCCGTCATTCAAATGAAAATAAAATGATAGCGAGATACAGACTTTTCTTTTCAGTCCAGTCTTATAAAATAAAAATAATCCGCAAAGGAACATCTGTATATGTATAAACAAATATGCTAAATTTGTGATATATGTATATGACAACTCTCTTGAATAATAAAATTATTCCTATACCTGATAACACTTCGAGATACGTTCACTCCAAAATGTCAAAGGTTTGCACGCTGCAAGGTACGAGTAAAAAAAAAACAGTAGGATTACGGTTTCGCACGCGCAAATCATAAATTCACACTGCCGATATCATAACTGGAATTTCTATCGTATGACATTTTCAACGCGGTTCCTGATTGATTTATGCAGTTGAATCACATCAAACGAGATTACAAGGTCCTACACATGAGCGGAATAGTCCAAGTAATTCTGCATTTAAATCATAACACACAACACGTTCGGTTAACATTAAATCTTAAACAGTGATTTCATCTTTAATTTAGGAACTACTAGATTCCGAATTAACTTTTTACTCATTTAAAGCACTTGAAGCTAAAATTACGTTTCACATTTATTTTGAATTTTTTTCACAATTGTAAAAATGGAGTAATCCTCTCCTCTCCTCTTCTTTCTCTCTCCCTCTCTCACACACGTCTCTTTAATATCTCGTATTTTTAATTAAAAATAATCTTTTAATGATTGGAAGATTCGATACAGAACGAATAAAAGAATTCTCCGATCGCGCTCCGCGTTGAGTTAAATCGGAACATCCCCTTGAAGTGAAACGTCGATTCCTCTCGGGGGGGTTTCAAAACTACGTGAGAATTTGCGTCAGGAAAGCCCTGACATCTTCCTCGGGGATGCGCATTTCTAGTACCAGAAATATCCTGATGAACGTACCTTGACGTAGAGCTCCCTCGTAGTCATCGTGTTTGGTCCTGGCGTTCGGTACCTGGATCAGTTAGAAGCTGGGTCAACAGGGTACCAACGCCACACACGGACGCGACACAATTTACACGCGACGAAAAGTCTACGACATCAGTCGCGTGCGATCGAAAGTCGCACACGCTATGAGCACCGTCGACTTTGTCGAATCGTACACATTGTCACACGCGAGGGGGGGAGGGGAGGGGGAGGGGGCAGATTCACGGCATGTTGTTTATTTTTCTTTTTTTCTTCTCTTTCGTTCCTTCGCTTTATTTCCTTCTCTTCGGCGTGCTCCTCGTGAGTTGGCGGGAGTCTCGATTTTCTGCACCGCGATATGTTATATACCAGTTCGCGCTTGCGATTTATTTTTCAGAACAGGCTGCTGCGACCTTCCAGGAAGCGATCCGGCACGGACTCCACCGGGCGAGAGCGGGTTCTCGCGAAGGTTACACCTTCACGTAAACGGCGACACTGCCGACCGTCGCCAGCTGGCTTATCGGGTTTGGATTGCCGACCCCTCTCCGGCGACCTCGACGCCCACCATCGTCAACGGTGTGCGAACGACATCGAACATCTCGCTCTAACGCGCACTGCTGGCATCACGTGTCCTCTTAAAAGGATCGAAGACCAACACTAGCGATATCGCATGTAGAGCGGAATGTTAGAGAACGTTTCAGGCAACAAATAAAACACTGCTCAATGGATAATAGTTAGCCATAGGTAACTGCCTAATTGTATACTGATAAAGTACTACTTAGTTTTTATCATCGCCAGTTAAGCTGCCGACGCCGGTATTTGTAATTATTTGCTGATAACGAAACTCTTTGGGACTCTCTCTCTTTCTCTCTCTCTCTCTCTCGCTCTCTGCTTTATCAAATAACGCTACAAGAATTACACACATTCCTTCAAAAAAATCTTTTGTGTGTAGAATTTTAGCAAAAATTTGAAAATTTATAGCATAAATGTCAAGATTTCTCAAAACAGATAAAATAATATAACAAAACAATTTTATATAGTAATTTCTGTAACATTATAAAATAAATAATTATAATATAAGAATTATCCCAAGAAAATGAGAAATAATCGATTTTTAGTATCAAAATAAAATATAAAAACAGCGAACAATCGATACTTCAGTTTATATCGAAATCATGACGTTCAGTGACGTTTCTACTTATAATAAAATTATATTAATATATAAGCTAATAATTAATATATAATTTATAAAAAATATATGAAAAATTCAGTATTAAATAGCATAAAAAATTAAATAATGTAAGTGAATAAGATCATGGCGTTTTTTCAATTGGTGCTAAAAGCTAAGAAGCTTGACAAGGCTAGGTTGAGCTATGAAGATGAAAAATTAAGATCGATTGAGATCTCCGAAGGTGCCAAGCCACGTCTCACTTTGAAGCAACGTCTCCGACGAAAGCGACTAAAGTGAGTTCACCATCAATTTTCAGAATCGATATCAATTTTTCTAAATTTTCATGTGCATTATGTTATATTTATTAGAAAAAGAATGTAAATATGATAAGTTTAAGAGCATCCTTATATTTGCAATGCACAAACTTTACTTTTTTATTATAGCATTTTATTCTTTATAATTAAACTGTTTCCATAGATGCAGAAGGAGAGTTAAAGATTTCTG